TGACATCTCTGCTTTGTACAAGGCAGAGTGGTTAGAGCTGCACACATTCAAGGAGGGCCTCTGTTGAACAAAATTGGCCAAATCAGATTAAAAACCCAGTATCTATGATGAAGGCTGCAAGCTGCCTGCTCGGAGAGGTTCCACTGATGTGAACCAGAAGTTTCTTGCATGTGGTCAGGCCCTAAATTTGATACTGGAATTTAAAAACAAATTAAGATTCCCATGTAATACTGACTTCTTTTTTTTCCAGAGTAAAAGATTTTACAGGATGGAATGCTATATGCAGTGGTTACATGAGTCCAAGTAATTGTACCAATTATATAATTGGATATAATTGCACTAATTACATAAACACATAATAATGAAATATAAGTTATTCCAAGAGCTAAACTGGAAGAACATTAAAGAACCTAAATCTGCTCCCACTTATTCTAGTACAAATCAGAAACAATTCCCCTGAAATCAATGCAGTTACCCAAATAAAACTGGCCCCTACCATTATAAGCAGCCAGGTAAATCCAGCTTTTGGTTGAAGGCTACTGACTGGGCAAGCAAATGAAAGCTACTGGGGTATTTTTTACCAACGGAGATTGCTAATTCCTGGCCAAATTCCAGTGTATGCAGGGAGATTCTCCCTATGTTCATGCCCAGGTTAGGTGTCTTCTCCTCCTGTTCTGATCTGTCATGCAGCAACCGTGGGTTTTGCTAAATATTTTAGCTGCTGATTCTAAAGCAAAAAAAATAAACAAATAAAATTTTTTTTTTAGAGATACTGACAATTAAATCCCAATCGGGATTTCAAGAGAAACAGATTCAGGTGTGTCATTAGTTATATTGGTGCTAGCCTGAATTACATCTGCAGACTTCAGGGGTGCTACCACAGATTGACACCAGTATTAACAGAAACAGACTCCCCTCTTAGACAAAAATTTGTATTTCTGATCCATTTTGCAAAATGTTCTTCAACCTTCACAACAGAAACCACTCCAAACAAAAATTATTCTTAAGAAGGATTTGTTCAGTGAGGGGTTTCCCCCTTCTCCCATGGCAGGGGGAGTGCAGCAATTAATTTCAGCTGCTGACTTCATCTCTCAGAAGCAACAGAGCAAAGAAGGCCGGAGCTGGCAATTTTGGAGCAGGTGTCTTTTATGTGTGGAAATATGTGATGTATGCAGAGTTAACCCACCAAGTGCTCTGTTGCACCACGTTGTGACAGTCACACTGTCCACACCGTCCTTGTTAATGTCAGTGGGAGGTCCAGGCACTGGGACCAGGGTTTTGCCTGTGTTAGAATATTTTAAAGGACAAAGGTTTTCTGACTGCAGAGACTGATTCTGACACATGATAGAAGACAATGATTTAGCATTTACAGGACCAAATTCAAAGCCTATCTGAGACAAGAGAGAGAGATCTAGTCACCTCAGCAGCAGGGTATGGATCTGACCCAGCTGGGTTTTTTAGGTACAGTACCTAACTTGGCATAAGAAAATGAAACTGGATGCTCAGTTTTCTAAGGATGGGAATGACAGATGGAAAAATAAAAACCAAAATTTTCAAAAAGCTGCCATCAAGCTTGGGTATCTCATTTTTCATTTTGCCCGATTTCAAAAATGCAGGAGGTGGAAGCTGCACACAGTGGCATTCCCGCAGCCCTCTGCAAAAAGCTGGCAATGGTCTTGTCACATCTCTGAAAAATCAAGCCCAAACTGTCTCAGATTGGTCCCACAAAATTAAAGACCTTCTAAATTTTATTTCATTTTAGCCTTAGAAATCTGTGTGACAGCTTGCTGTCAGCACCAGGACTCGGGAATGCCTCACTACCTGCAGCATGCCCCCAGCAGCGAGTAGTGACTCCATGCTGCAGAAAACGCAAAGCATGTTCTGTTCATTTTGATTTCCAGAGGCTGTTTCACACCAAATAGAAGGAACTAGAAACCTGGACTGTGCTCCAGCTCTTCCCATTCCCAGATGATGCCCCTCACACCATATTGATTTGGGCTCTTTGCATTTCTGCCCCATGGATATCAGGGTCGTAGCTGCAAATGGGGGAGCAGGGCAGGCAGGGGAAGAAAGCTGTGAAAGCTTTTTGCCAAGAAAAGGGATGTTCTTTGCTGGCCTCTGTGAAAGAGCTCAGGATCCCAGGCTTCCTTGTCAGTTTGTGGTGGGATGCAGAGCACAGCCCATTCCTGCCCCTCGCTCCTGGCCAGCCCAATCTCCCGGCATCCTGGCCCCCAGCAGCTCCCTGCTCCCCGGGGCTGCAGGTCCAAATCCCACGCCAAGACACCCTGCTCTTCTCCTGGGAGAGCACAGGAGCCCCAGTGTCCAACGCAGGGCTTGGCTTCGACTCCAGAAACCAAACAGTTTCAATTAAGAATGAAACCTAACCGGACCCAGCCTCCAGGGCCTTGCATTTCAATGGGCAAGATTTCTTAATATATCCCATTTTTAAAAGTGCGGCCCAGTCTTATTCATAATGATGGTGTCATACTAGGTCAAATGTGCCTTCAGACTGAAGGGACGTGTATTTGCCACTGATTTCAAGGGGAATTTATTGAAATCCTCAGTCGCATGCTGGACCAAGGGAACAAAGACCAGGGAGAAGGCTGCTAAGCGATGGAGCAGGAACAGCGAGCGGTGGCTGTGACAATAAACGTGCAGTTCGAGGTGGTGAGAAAGCTATGAAATATTCAAAAAATTTGGTCTGGGGGACAAAGTTCTGCACAGCAGGTTGTTGACACAGCCACAGCAAATTGCTCCTAGAGGTCTCCCGAAACAAAGCCTTTTAACCCCAGTGTCTGGCTTTGGGGAGGGGTAGGCAGAGCTACGCTTGAATGTGAATTGTAACTAGAACCCATCATTAGTTGCATCAACTTGCTTCTTCAACACTTTCCAGGTCTCAGGGTCAGATCTAACATTTGCTAGGTCAACAGAGGTCCTTCTGTCAGCTTCAGCTGGCATTTGCTCAGGTCTCCAGGAGGAAGAATTTATCTGTGAAGATCAATGAAATCAATATCTGGATATATGCACAGCTGACAAGAATTTCTATGCGTATTCATCAACATTTTTGGGTTTTGTTAGTAAAGGCAATGTATTTTACTCAAAAAGACCTCTCCTTGGTGCCAGCTAATTTAAAAAAAAAAAAAAAAAGTTCATCAAACTTAGCGTTGACCTCTTTTTCTTGGAAGTGCTTTCCACGTTATTTTTTTTTACTTCTTGTAACCGATCAGGGAGTGACCTAGACAAGAAGTTACATTCTTACACAGCAGGTGAACCAGGAACTTGCTGTAAATGACCTGCAGGTATGCGGAACAGCATCGTTCCAGCGCCCAGAGACCCTGCACTGATGCAGACAGAAAGAAGCAGATGCTTACATGTATAGACGGCAATAAAACTAGAGTGTAACATTTTTAGGATCGCAGCTGAGCTCTCAGACAAGGCTTTCTGCAATGACTAATATGACTACGGTCGAATGCGACAGTTCACTGTCTGCAGCCGCATTCAGTCCCGAAAGTAAGCAAGTTTCTCCAGATGTTACACACTAAAAAAAAAAAGAAAAAAGAAAAAAAAAGGAAAAGCACATCCAGTTTTCAATCTTTTTTATTTATTTAAACTGTACACAAATGTAAAATACTTCAACAGCAAATCTAAGTGAAAATTGTTTGGTTTAAATTATTATGGAACAGAACCTAAAAGGAACTTTATTAAATAAACATAAAAATTGGATTTAAAGGATGCACATATTGTAATGTATTCTACAATAGTAATTTTTTTTTCCACTCTACATTCCATGTGCGTATGGTATACAAAAGACACTGAATAGAACAAACAGAATCCATTTTGTACCCTGAAACAATTGGTAGGCCTCGTGAGGGATTGCTCAGTATGACTACATGATATATGATGGCTTTGCCATCTCATAAAAATTATAACTAATATGTTGGCCTCTTTGGTTCCAAAATTTATGTATAATACATTTAACTGTATTCATTTTTTGCTGCTATAAAAATAACATTTTTTTCAAATGGCAGTTTTTTGACTAATCATGCAACTAAATCAGTGCAAACATTAAAAGCAATCATTCGCTTTAAAAAAGAAGCAAAAGATTTAATTTCAAGTATAAAAAAATATAAAAAAGTCATATCATAAGTCCAGTTTTGTCTAGTATGGGTCAACACTTTAAATTGCATAGCTCATGCGGCACCTGTTTACCTAGATAGTGAGCAAAGATAAGTGCACTATCAAGTACCACTTTTCAAGGCATTGAAATTTGCAAGTGCTATTATACGTGCATTCAAGCAGTTTGCAAGTGCTATGCTGTATCATTATTTTCTGATCTTTATGGCCATCCTCGACACCTCCTGGTAAGGAAATGGAAAGCACTCTCCTCTCTCCTCCTTTCCAAGACTTGTTAAAATGTTCCTCGCCTGTTATTAAACGCACCGCATTTCTCAGAACGTCTCCACTCTGTTACCGTCACTCCTCTTTAGGGTTCATTGGTTTAGCCGTGGTGGCAATTACTTGTTTGCTCATCCCCCACGTGACGTGTCCTTGCCGAGTCCCCCATTGAAGAACACAGATTGCAACTCTGACTTTTCGTTCTCCGAACAGTGAGAGATGCCAACGGTCGACACAGTCCAGATACAGTATCAGATTCCCTTTTCCAAGACACGGCGGGTGCAGCCATCCACAGGTTGCTAATGGGCAGTTAAAGCATCGGATCACGTCAGCCCAGCTTGTGACTTCACAACGGTCAGATGTTAGAAATACAGCAGTTGCTTACGTGTCTGTCCCCTTTTCTCTCTCTGATGGTACCGTGCGATTCCTTACTGGAAGTGCTGTAGGAAGATGCGGGTATCTGTGATGTTTACATTTAGATAAGTTTAAATTAAGAGGAAGTGATCACCTCCCAAGGCAGGTGTCCTGCAGCTTCCCGTTAGACCTAAGAGGTGACAGTCGACTTTTTTCTTTTTTTTTTTTCCTTTTTTTTTTTTTTTAAATTTTCTAAGTTTGGTCATTTCGACACCTGCGTGCAAGAATACGTCATGTTCTCGCAGTCTGTGCTTGTGCCTGAGCAAAGGGAGCTCATTTCGGTCTGGCTTCGCCGGCAGGCGGGGAAACAGCTGCTCAGCCGTTCACTTGTACTGGCAGTCATTTAGGTCCGTCGTCACTGGTCACTGGCTTTCTGTGCTCATGTCCCTTTTCCGAGCTGCCTCGTGTGTGTGTGTGTGTGTGTGTGTGTCTGCGTCTGTGGGTGTGTGTATGAGCGCGTGGTTGTGTGCATGCCCACGTTTTCATGTGTGTGTGTGTGTGTGTGTGTGTGTGTCTCTAAGATATTTCATAGCATTAACTTATAAGTGGTAGAATATATAAGTGTCCAAGATCCACAAACTGCCACTGTCCTGACACCAAAGTGAAATGAATTTTTTTTTCTTTTTTTCTATTTTTTTTTTTTTTGTCAAACTTTTCCACAGTGACTTTCCAACACTGATGCCTGGATACACAGTGAAACTTCCTCCAACACCATCTCATACGAGAATGTTTCTTTCTCTCTCTCTCTCTCTCTCCACCCACCCCCTTCTCTCCCCCCACCAAAAAACACACCTTAAATCAAGCACAACCACATTCTTCCACAATCATATTGGGAACGTCCCTTTTCACAATGTTGTATTCATCATCAAAGTACAGCATTGACATTGTGCTAAGTTTGGTTGGAATGCAACAGGAGTTCACGGTGCCCGGGTTCAGCCCCCGCATTCGGTACTGATTCACGACAGCGGTGTGAAAGGAGGAAGCCGACCCCGGGACGCCGGCCAAGTAGGCCGGGCAGCTCCCTTCACAGTAATTCCCATAGTAACCTGATGGTGCTATGATCCAGTCATTCCACCCAATGAGTCTAAAGTCAATGTAAAACTGTTGCCTGCAACATAGATTGGTCCTGCCATCGCACTCCAGGCCTCTTTTCCGGATCCTGTGTTTGTTATCGGCGAGGCGGGCTTGCACCACTAAAAAAGGCCGGTGGGATTCCTCCCCGGGGTCCACATAAATTGGCAGCACTGAATACTCTTCACAGCCCTCACATTGAACATCCAAGTTCAGTCTCCTTTCTCCTCTCTCAAACAGAGCCTGGATCGCCTCTGTCATGGGAAAAGTGTGCCAACCACTTCTTTTGAGATCAACTTTCTTTTCAACCACATTCCACTTGTTGCTAGTGTCCGGGTCTTGGAAATAGACTTTGACTCTTACTTTTCGCCTGCTGCCTTTCTCTAAGACATATGGAAGCAGCTTCAAGTAAAGCCACAGGCTGGCTTGAACGACAAACAAGTTCTGGTTCCCTTCATTCGAGATGAAGAAATAGAGGCGGACTCTAGATGAGGCCAGATCGTCTGCAAGATAAGGAGAGATCAGCAAGATTAAGTCAAAAAGGAAATGTTAGCTTGTGTGCCATTCTGGATTCAGGGACAACGCTAGAGCACAGCGGATCGAGAGAGCGGCAACGGGGCTGTGCTGGCCAGAAAGCACGCGCTGAATCAGATATCCCCAATTTGCAATCAAAATGAATTGAAAAGGGACTTCCCACAGGAACGTTCATCATCGCGCTGTAGTCGGATGCGTCAGATCCACAGAGACCAGTACGAGCTTTCCAGAATACGGGGTTTTTCCAGCCAGCCGGCTTTAAAGACGCTACAGTAGCACCTTGAAAAGACCGGCACTCGGACTCTGCTATCTCGTCGGTTTTAGAATAGTTTTAACTTTCAGCTACCTGCCAGTTCTCACGGGGAGAGCCCTTTCAATAACCACTGAAACGCCAATGCCAAACCAGGGATTTTGTTTCGATTTTCACATATTCTCATCGCGGTTTAACAGAGAGGATTCACGAGACAGAGGGGAAAATATTTCAGTAATGTGCCTGCTTGTCCAACAGATCAAGTTGGTAGAATATCTGCTGTTATTAATCGTTTCGATCTCTGCCTTTTCCCCCACAAAATGACAAACCCCCATGCACGGTGAGGCAATGAAGTGGTTGCTCTCGCTGTAACGCTGTTACCGACTCTCTGCAATATTCTTTTCAATAACCCCAGAATTAAAGAAGGGTAATTGTCACTGAAAACCAAATGTCACCAAATGTCTGACATAACCTCTTATTTGTAAACAAAAGAGCCTGCTGCGTGCAATGTTGCAGAAATACCAGTGGCCCTCCTGCAATTTTGTAGTATAAGTCCTAACTGAATTTGGCGTAGGTGATAAATGTGCAAGCTGGCCTTTACGGCGGAGACTGTAATTCTGGTTCTTGAATCAAAGCCTCTCAATCGCTATTTAAAATTATTCCTGGAAAGGCATTTTCTCATCTGCCCTTATCTGTTTTGCTTCTTTCTGTACGGAGCCAAATGTAGATTTTTCTTCCTTTTCTTTTCCTAAGAACCCTTGTTATTTTTGTCAATCTCTGAATGGGATTTTTTGCGTAGTCGGTGTCTTCATTTGTTACCCTAGATGCCTTTCAAATGTGCCTCCAGGGTAATATTTCAGTGACAAAAATTTTCACTGTTTGTCTACGTTTTACATAAAGTCGATTCTGGAAGTGTTACAAAAGCCAGCGATTGACTGAATACCAAATGGAAGTACAAGCCCACCCCAGATCTCCCAACAACAGCCTATTAAAAAATAATAAACCCAAAAATGTACGTTAAGAAAGCCTTTCACATGTTAGTAAACACACAACTTCTTTATAAACTGTGGTGACAGTGACAGAAAAAGAACAGTACGGTGTTGCCGCACCGATCCACATCACTTGTGTTGTGTGAGATTGTGTGTGCCCATAAATTTTGTATGTGAATATAACAAGCATATGTATAATGCAACAGATCCCAAAGATACTGTAAATGTATATGCCTTTGGTAAGTGGGAGGGTAGATAAAGAAGATGAGTGGGCAGTATACAGGATAGAAAGAGATCTATTTTGTGGACAAATGATATATAGATGCCACAGGAAGACAGAGAGAAAAATGAACGGAGCAATCGAGCGATGAAGGAAAGGAGAGATGGGCGGACAGACAGGAGAGAGCTAATTTGCAGAGTGATGGTGTTATAGCCAGATGTGCAAAGTTCACAGGCACAGCGGTTGCCTGGATAAACTGCTGGAAAGCTATGCTGAAGGGATTCAGTGACACATAACTGCAATGGCTGGACAGGATTGAGATGGCTGGTACCGTGGGGATGGATGGCACAGTTAGTAAACGGACTGACGGACAGAGAGGAGACAGACACACTTGGTAGGAGGCTGCACGCAGTGGACAGACAGACAAGGCCAACGCTACAAATGAAAGCTAAATAAATGGGAAATGAACGGAAAGGGAGGACGGGCAAAGAGCTCAACAGACAGATGCATGCAGTGAACCAGATGAATGTGCAGGGCAGACAGACGAGGCGAAGGATGCAAGGGATGGAGCGGGACAGCCGGAGGAGGGACAGTGGGGCGCACAGGGACGGAGGCAATCCACGGTGCAGCTGGAAGGACCGCCGGGGTGAAGCCGGGGGGCACGGAGCCTGCGGAGGGATGGAGGGACGCAGCGAGGGCAGTCGCAGGGCACAACCCGGGGAGAATCCCGGGCACAGGGGCACACGCAGGGAGGACGGG